TTAATAGATGTCTGTTTGCTGTTATTTTTACCCTTTGTTCCTCCCCATTGAGTGCACGTGTATCTCGGGTCTATGGCATTATCAAAGGCTGCTGGGGGCTGGGATGTGGAGAGGGCTGTGGGAGGCTGAGGCGCCACCCGCGTCCCCGGGGGGCCTCAACCTTCCCATTGAGCTCTGCTCTGGCCCCTGTCCTGCACCCCGTGCTCACTGCCTTCTGGACGCCCCCACCCGGCGCGTCACTGTGATCTGAGAAGTGCCGTGGCCCACACTCCGGAGAGCACTTGGGCAGCTCCTCCAGAGTTAAACATGTGGGGACTTCCCTGGTGGGCCGCGGGTTGAGAGTCTGCTCCCAATGCAGGAGTCACAGGTTCTGTCCCTGCCTGGGCACTAAGATCCTGCATGCAGCAGGACGTGGCCCAGAACACACACACAAAATCAGAGTTACGACATGACCCAGGAGTTCTACTCCTAGGAATCTGCCCCAAAGAGTTGAAAACATGAATGTCCTTAGCAGCATGGTTTACGACAGACAGCCCCAGATGGAAGACCACCCAAGTGCCCATCAGTTGACAAATGGTAAACGAAATGTGGTCTAGCCATTCAGTGGAATAATACTCAGCTACGAAAGGGATGGAGCACGGATACAGTCTACATCCTGAAGAACATCGAGAACATTAAGAGAGAAAAGCCAAACACAAAAAGTCACATATCGATGATTACATTGATATGAAATGTCCACAACAGTCACATCCATGCAGACGGAAGCTGATAAGTGGTTGCCTGGGGCAGAGGGCAGCTGGGAAGAGGAGCTAACTGCTCAGTGGGGGCAGGGCCTCCCTTGAGGGTAACGAAAATGTTCTGCAACTAGACAGTGATGGTAGTCACACAACATCATTAAATATTATTGACCTGTATACTTAAAATGGTAAATTCTGTGTTACATATATTTTACTACAGTTAAGAAACAAAAAAAAACAATTAATATACATCAGATGGTGTGACAGCTAGATTTTGAACTCAGGGCACCGCCGCCCATAGAACGTGGATGCCTCTATTCCACACAGAGAAATGTGGGCCTTCATGCTCACAGACATAGCCCTTCGGAGAGTGACAGATGCACGTGGCGAAGTGGATTCCTTCATTCACACAAGGGCTGCCGTGTAAGGTTGGGCAGGTTGTGCACTGCACAAGAGGGTCTGGCAGAGAGACTGGCTCTCCTTCCTAAGGCACGCTGGTGGGGAGGAATCCATCTGTGGGAAGGGGCACTCCTTCCAAACACACACAAGGGTGCCATCTGCCTGCTAAATCACAGATGCTGGGGAGCTGCACAGGGCCAAGGGCTGCCCCACATGGGCCAGTAGTTTGCAGGCTCGGTGCCTGCGCTGTGCCAAGCCTCTGGTGGGGCTCCATCACAGAATTTCTCCCTCTGCTGACAGAGTGCCGTAGTCCCCTCCAACTTCACACACAGGCGCATTCCCAGGGAAATTCCAACCCCTGGTCATTGACAGCTCCAGGGAGTGGGGCAGGAGGAGCGGGGGCATACACCCCCTGAGGCCCAGCCACACACACACACACGGCCCCTCTGTCAGCGGGGCCCCAGAGCCTCTCGCCCCTGCGTCCCACCTCTTGCCCTGCAGCACCTACCCCTGCCAACACTTGGCCAGATGCACAGATACAGGGGACCGGCTCTTCCTCACAGAACTATGCACGGACACACAACAGAGCTTGTGTCACAGTGACACAGAACACAGGGCACCCACGTGGTGTCCTGGACACAACACGCAAGGACACCCAGTATCATCCTGGTAGCACACCCGAGCCTCCTCCCAACACACACGCAGTACAGCTCCCTGTGGACACAGCCCTGCATCTATGGCCTTCCTGCCCACAGCACCCAACAGTCAGACACAGTCTCAGACACCATGACACCCTGGGACCACACACAGCTCCAGGACATGGCCAGAGACCCGCCCCAGCCAGCTGCACCTGGACATGCTGCCCACTGCCCGTAGACCGTGGACGCTTGTATCCCAGCCAGACAGGCAGCCTCGTGGGTACACACGCCAGTGCAAACCCCACGGTGGAGCGTCTAGAAGCAGGCATGTGACCCTCCGTCAGACACACCCAGACAGCACCCCCTCCTGGACACACACACAATACACAGGAAGGCACGATTCTCCTCCTCCCCACAAGCCGTCTTCTCCCTCCCTGCCCCGGGCACAGCCAGCAGCTCAGGGCCAGAACCCAGGATCCTAGTCCAGGAGCTGAGAGATAACAGATGTGGGCACAGAGCTTGGGGAGCCAGTGTGAGACGGGGTCCCTGCGCTCCTGGAGAACCCCGTCCTCCCCCTGCTGCCCTGCCAGCACTGCGTCCCACACCTCACCACCCCACCCCTCTCCTGACCCTGTCAGCTGGGCTGGGGGGGCAAGGACTGCCTCGTGAGATGCCTGGGAGCAGAGAATGAGAACAGGATGAGGGTGAGGGCAGAGGGTTGGAGAGAGGGAGACGGAGACCCAGAGAGAGAGAGACACAGAGACTCAGGGAGAGAAACGGAGCCTCGGGGGAGAGGGACAGAGACCCAGGGAGAGGGACGGAGACCCAGGAAGAGAAAAACAGAGATGAAGAGGAGGGATATTCTTCTCCCTTCAAAGAAACTGAAGATATTCAAAGAATATTCAAAGAAAAGAGGACAGAGACCTGGGAGGGCACAGGCCTGGAGGGTGAGCAGTGATGGGGAGAAAAGACCCGGGGAACTGGGGATCGAAGGAGAGCGACAGAGAAGGAAAGAGAGAGCCAGAGAAGGAGGACAGACCCGCAGAAGGAGGAGACCCAGAGAAAGTCAGAAACCCGATCTCGGGCTGCTGGGCGGTGAAGAGGGGTGGGCAGGTGGGCGCTGAGGGTGCGGGGGTCCGAAGGCGAAAGGCAGGCGAGCCTCCCGGGAATGTCTGGAGTTGAGGGTGGGTTTGGGGTAGGGATGTGAAGAGCAGGCAGTAGGAGGGGGATCCGGGTTCAAGAGGAGGCTGACCCGGCCGCAGGGGTCCGGGCGGGAGGCGGGGATCCTAGCTCCCGGCGGGGGCGGCGGGGTGGAGGGACCCGGCCCCGCCTCCAGCTCGCCCCCCGGGGGCTGGGGTTTGAGGGAAAGACACGGCCGGTCCCCACGCACCCCCCGCGGCCCGCCCGGGTGCCTAGGCCTTCCCATCCGCTCTCTGTCTCTGGAAGTCTCTGCGTCTCCCGGTCCTGACCTCCTCCCGGGATCTCGCCCCACTGCCCCTCCCTCGGCCCGCCGGCCAGTCTCATTTCTGCGGGGAGGTGCCCGGGGTCACGGGCTCTCTTAGCCCGGCTCTCTCCACGTGTCTCAGCGCATCTCTGCATCCTGCCGCCTTTGCCCCACGTCTCCTCCGCGTGCCAGCATTCCCTCCTCCCTCTGCCCTGTCAGTCTCTCTTCACATCCCCGTCTCTCTCTACCTCCGACTGCGTGTCTCCATCTCTGTGTGTCTCTTTCCCAGGTTTGCTGTCTACAGATCTCTGACCCTGTGAGTGTCTCTGTGCGCCCCCGACCCGGACCACCCATCTCCCTCCCGGGGCCCTCACTCTCACTCAGGCTCGGGTTAGAGGGGCGGGGTGGGGGCGCGCTGCGACAGGAGCTGTGTGTTCCCAGCGCAAAATAGACTCCTGTTGCCATGGCGACGCGAGCGCGGCCTCCGAGACGCGAGGCTTCAGCCTGGGGGCTGAGGAGGGGGGACACCTGGATCCGGAAGGCGGGGGCCAGGGGCGCTGGCGCCCAGTCCCAGGGGTTCCTGGAAGAGGGGGAAGCAGGGACTCCTAGGTCCCTGTGGAGAGAGGGCCCTGGGCGCTCTGACGCGGGGTCCGGTGACCGGGCCTTCTGAGCGAGGTCTGGGATCCAGGGTCGGGGGGCCGGGGGGGAGATGCTCTGATTCCCCAGTGGGGGCGGTCTGGCTGAGAGCTCTGACGCTTGGGTCCCTGGGGGACTCGGATTGCCTTCTTGGGCCCCCAAAGATTGCGGGGTGGGGGTGGGGGAGCCTGAGAATCTAAAAGGGCTGAGGGGCCCTGACTGGGGGGCTCGTTGAGTCCCGACTCCCAGATTTCCAAGGGGGCTGTAGAATTCTGGGAGCCCCCATGCGGATCCCCGGGCTCCTGCGTCTTAGGGGAGCAGGGACCACTCAGATGAAGCTATCTGTCCTTCCCATCCATCCGTCCATCCATTCATCCGCATGCCTGTCTCTTCCTTCCTCCGCGTCCCCAACTCCCTCCTGCCTCAGTTTCCCCCTCCGCACCGGGGTGCGGCCGCGCTCACCTCACTTTCCGGATGCGGGACCCTGGGGGAGTCGGGGGGTGGCGGCGACGTGGGGGGCCGGCTGGGGGAGGCAGAGCGAGCGCGTGTCTGCGAGCCAACCCGGCTGGGCGTGTGCGCGCGCGCTGCCTGGGGGGCGGCCGGCAGCGTGTCGGGGACCCGGGCCGGCAGTCCCTTTGCGGGCAGATGCGCGCCGGCTGCGGTGCAGATGTGAGTGGCCGCCCTCGCCTTTGCCTCGCGCCGCCGGCTCGGAGTTGAGCGAAGGCACCACCCCCTCCCCACCTGCCGGGGACCCCTCTTCCCCCGCCGCCCGCGGGCCCCGGTCGCCCCCGGGACACCCCCCAGAACAAGAATGGTTCGGCCCACAGTCACATCAGTGTTTATTTTCCGCGAGCAGGTCCCACACAGCCTGTGACGCTCTCCCCCCCGCCGCCCCTTGGAGTGGCCCGGGGCCGAGCCCCGCCTCCAGCCCGGCTCGACCAACCCTCGCCCGGCTCCGGGGGCCTTATTTGCATTTCCGGGAGCTGCGGCCCAATGGGAAGGCGGCACCCACCGCCCTCCCAAGGGGGCGGCTCTCCCGGTGGACTGCACCACTCTCGGGAGCCGGCGACGGGGGGAGAAAGCGCGCCTGCCAGAGTCCCGAGGACAGGAGAAGAGGGTGTCTCCGCTCAGCGCAGGGTGGCGAGGTCAGCGGAAGAGGGGGTTCTGGTCTTGGAAAAGGCCCAGGAGCCCGCTATCGGGGCTGGGCTCCTTGATGAGCTTCTGGACCTGTAGGGGGGAGTCAGGGGTTCCCGTCTCCACGACAGATCCATTTTCATTTCCCTGGCCGCCCCCCGCCCCCCCGCCCCCCCCCCCGCCCCCGGCAGTAACTGGCCAAACTAACCGCCCCCTCCCCTCAAGACTTGCTGGTGATCTCCCTTTCACCACAGCTACCAGGATTAGTGCCTGATCATCTGTTGCCTGGGCCCACCTTGGCGGCTTCGACCACTGAGGGTGACTGACTGTCCTGGGGCTTCCTGCTTCTTAAGTAATCTCCCCTCTCAACTCTCAGGTCCAGCCCACGCCTTGTGCCTCAACTCTGGAGGCACTTATGCAACTGCTTCTTAGATGCTGGTGGTCATTTGACCTTCCACCCCCTCCCCCATCAGCGCACAGCCTCAGCGGCCGTGCTCAACCTGGAGCCTCTCTGGGCTACCTTTTCACGCATTGCACCCACCACCAAGTCCTCTCATGCTAACCTACAGAAGTTACAAAATAAAAGTGAGCCAGGCCTGTAATCCTGCTGCCTCCACCCTCGTTTCCCCCCTTCCTATCTCATGTCCATGAGTGGCCCAGCACGGCACACAGATCTGACAGTGTCCAGCTCCCAGGTGCAACCCCGACAAAACCTTTAGGAAGGCTCTTCTCTGGCTCCTCCCTGCCTCCCGCCCCTCCTCCACCCTAAGCTCGCTGTGCCCTGCTGTGGTTCCTTGAATAAGTCAAGTTTAGTCCCATGTCCAGGCTTCTGACCTAGCTGTCCACTCTGCCAAGACTGCTTTTCGGATGACCGGTTGCTGACTGCCCCCAGTTCAGGTCTTCACTTTAAGGCCACCCCCAGGAGGGGCCTCTGTGCGGCAGGCCCCCATCTCATCTCTCACACACCCCACAGATTCCTTCCCCAGCTCCTGGCCACCATGTGAAACTGAATACAGATTGTCTTTTTCTGCGATTGCCCCTGGACCTGCCACACTGGCTGGCACTCAGTAGGTGCTCAGTAAATGCTCAACAGACCTGATCTAAGAGAAGGGGCAGACCTCAGAGGACTGGGATATTGGCATATTCCATTACTCTAAGGGCCAAGGTGCGAAGCCGTGGGCTACCCAGTCAGACCTGGGTACTGGGAAGTCCACGTGAGTGGTGGCTGCGGAGGCTGGACCTGAGTGTCACAGACTGGAGGAGGAGGAGGGATGCTGGGGAAGGGCCAGGGGGCGCTGTGGACAGGCTCCCTGTGGCTCCCTTCCATCTCCACTTCCCTCTTAAGTCCCCTTCTTCTGGGAGACCTCTGGACCGCCCTCAGCAGCCCGTCCTGGCACGCTGGGCCCCTCCCCTGCTTTCTACAGCGCTTAGGGTCAGCCGGCTTCTCTGCTCCTGGATGTACGGTGTTGACCTGCAGTCTCCCCTGGGGGCGGCAGCCGCTATGTTCCCGGATGTGTTCTGCCGCTGTACCGTGGGAGCTGGAAAGGCATTTGCTGTTTGCGTGGGAGAAGGGGTAGGTCGGGTGTGTGTGGGGGGGGGGGGGCAGTACCTCCTTGAACTGAGGGTGAGCGGCGTCGCCCACGAGCTGCAAAATGAGCCCCTCGCTGGTGGAGAGGAAGGCGCCGCTCTGGCGCATCCGGGACAGCGCCACCAGCCGGTCCACCTGGCTGAGGGGGTGAGGGAGAGGGTGTTGGCATCTCGGTCTGCACGCGCAGACACCCAGTGAACTCAGCCAGGATCCGCCCCCGGGTTCTCCCTCGGTGGCCCAAACCCAACCCACACGCACCCCACCCCTGAGAAGACGCTCACCTCCGGGAGGTACAGGCGTCCACCACCACGTGGACCTGCAGCCCGCGATCCAGGAGGTCCAGGGCCGTTTGCTAGGGGCAGAGAAAGGTCAGGCCCACCCCAGCCAGGAGATGGGGGCCAGGGTGGGGCTGAGGGCGGATCAGGGCAGGAGGGGTGGGGATTATAGCGGGATCCTCGGGATCCTCGGCAGGATGAAAGCCCAGGGGGTCCTGAGTGTAGGTGAAGGTCCCAGGTCAGGAGGGGAGCCACGGGTCAGGAAGGGGAGCGTCCAGGGTTCTGGGTTTTCAGGTTGGGGAGGTCCCAGGTGGAAAGGAGGTCCCAAGCATCAGTGGGGGTCTCACCAAGATGCAGGCTTGTGTCTCTAACCCACAGAGGAGCACAGAACGCAACTGGGGCCGAGCGTCCAGCTCCTGCTGCACCACAGGCACCATGCTGAGGCAGGTCTTGGAGTGGGGCTGCAGGTCCTGAGCACCCAGCTCGGGCACCGTGGGGCCCAGGCCCTGCGGGTACTGCTCAGTCAGCACAGCTGGCACATTCAGCAGCCGGGCCACCTGGGGTGGGGGGCAGAGGAGCGAAGGTCTGAGCCCAGAGGGGCTGGGGCCTGGACCCCCGGGTCTGAGGGAGGAGGTGTGGGGGCTGGACCCCGGGGTCTGAGTGGGGAGGTGTGGGGCCTGGACCCCGGGGTCTGAGGGGGGAGGGGCCAGGGGCCTGGACTCCTGGTCTGAGGGAGGAGGTGTGGGGGCTGGATGCCAGGGTCTGAGGGGGGAGGTGTGGGGGCTGGACCCCGGTGTGGGGCCTGGACCCCAGGGTCTGAGGGAGGAGGTGTGGGGGCTGGACCCCGGGGTCTGAGTGGGGAGGTGTGGGGCCTGGACCCCGGGGTCTGAGGGGGGAGGGGCCAGGGGCCTGGACTCCTGGTCTGAGGGAGGAGGTGTGGGGGCTGGATGCCAGGGTCTGAGGGGGGAGGTGTGGGGGCTGGACCCTGGGGTGTGAGGGGGGAGGTGTGGGGGCTGGACCCTGGGGTCTGAGGGGGGAGGTGTGGGGGCTGGACCCCGGTGTGGGGCCTGGACCCCAGGGTCTGAGTGGGGAGGTGTGGGGCTTGGACCCCTGGGTCTGAGGGAGGAGGTGTGGGGCTGGACGCTGGGGTCTGAGGGGGGAGGGGCCGGGGGCCTGGACTCCTGGTCTGAGGGAGGAGATGTGGGGGCTGGACGCCAGGGTCTGAGGGGGGAGGTGTGGGGCCTGGACCCCAGGGTCTGAGGGAGGAGGTGTGGGGCTGGACCCCCAGGTCTGAGGGAGGAGGTGTGGGGCCTGGACCCCCGGCTCTGAGGGAGGAGGTGTGGGGGCTAGACGCCGGGGTCTGAGGCGGGAGGTGTGGGGCCTGGACCCCGAGGTCTGAGGGAGGAGGTGTGGGGCTGGACCCCGGGGTCTGAGGGAGGACGGCTGTACCTTGAGCATGCGCGCAGCCACAGAGACGATCTGGCGGAAGTACACAACGTGGCGGAACTTCTCCTGCATGTCGCACAGGAAGAGCATAGAAGATCCGGGGAGGACGCGGCCCAACGCGGGCCTCACAGCTGCCATGTCCTGGGGTGGGCAGAGGGGCCCAGGGAATGCAGTTAGGCTCAGAGCAGGCTTTTCTGCATGTCCGGGGTCTATGCACTCACACCCTAGACTCCCACTGTGACCCTCCTGCAGCCTGGGGCAGACTGAGGCTCTGAAGTGTCCAGCTGGAGGGCACGGCCAGCTCCTGAGGGGTCGGGATGCGTTGCTGAGGCAAAGCTGCACCCCCCACCCCCCCGCCCACGGCCTGCGATCCCTCAGGTCTGACTGCCTCTCTGAATGCAGTTTGCCCACGCGTGAGACTCACTAGCTGAACCCCGCTGCCTTGGGGTCTTAGAAAGAAAGGCTGGGGTACCCGCGGCGTGGAGTATTATTCGGCCACGAAAAGGAAAGGAGGGCGGACAAGCCACGGCGCGGATTTCCTCGCCGTGATGCTGTCGAGTCACAGCACCGAGCAGGAGCCCCTTTACATGGATCCATTTACATGGACCGTCCACTGAGACGGAGCAGGCTGGGGGGGGGGTTGGGCAGGGGAGAGACTGAAGAGGGGCACGGGGTTTCCATCTGGGGAGATGGAAATGTTTTGGAACCAGATAGCAGTGCTGGGTGTACAATATTAGGAACATACAAAATGCCTCTTAATTGTACACTTTAAAATGGTCAGGATGGTAAATTTTAGGTCATGTGTATTTTGGCACAATTTAATTTTTTGAATTATTTTTATTTTGTTTAATTTCTGACTGTGTGGCATGTGTTCCCCAACCAAGAATGGCACCCGTGCCCCAGCATTGGAGGCACAGTCTTAACCCCCTGGGCCTCCAGGGAAGTCCCTCCCACCATTAAAAAGAAAGAAAGCAATGTGAAAATTAAGGGGAGCACTGGTAGAGTCACCTGGCCAGCAGCCCTTTTAAAGGGGAGGACACTGAGGTCCGGGGGAGGGGTCCATGAAGGGGGAGGTGCTGCGGGGACTAGAGGGTGACTGCCCCCTCTCCTCATCAGGGCCCTGGACACCCTGAGTCTCACAGTCCCAGCCCATGTTCCCAGAGACTTGTGTCTCTGGTTCCCCGAACTGCTGCACAAATGGGGAGTCCTGGCTTGTGTCTGCAGCTCCCCCCATCTCTGCATGTCACTCACTTATTTGTTAGTTTATTTAGGAAACGAAGGCCCTGCGCCCGTGCACCCAGTGGAGGGCAAGCCGGGGCGACCCTCGCTCAGGGCAAGTCTCAGTGTCAGGTGGGGAGTCCCACAGCTGTTTTTGGTTACTCTTTAAATTGAGCACATCTACCACTGAAAATGTTTCCTACATGTGGCATATCTAAAGTTTAAAACCTAGTGGATGGCTAAAGTGGTGGATTTTATGCTGTGGGAATTTTGTCTTGAAATACAAATGGAAGGGAAACTCCCTCAAAAATGAAACCACACTGTGTTACTTCACTGTGTAATCACAGCTGTGGCCAGGGTGAGGATTTCTGGGGAAGCTACTCTGTCTTGGCAGAGTTCTCCTGGAGAAAGTGGAGAGCGAGCAATCTTTCTGAAAACACAGAGCTGACCCCGTCACCCCACCTCAGCTCTCCAGGCCTCCTGGCTTTTCTCTGTCCTCAGGACTAAAGGGTACCCTCCTCCCACAAGGTGCCAGACTGCCACATCCCCCTTCAGGGCCTTGGCCCAGGCAGCTGCCTCCACCTGGAGCGCTCTCCTCACTCTGGTTCCGGCTGGTAACTCCCCCAACAGATGGAGGGACACGGTCAGGAGCGGGTGGAGCGCTGGAATGTCGGAAAGCCTGTGCCAGGCTTCTGCAGGACTCCCCTTTGGGCTGGTAGGAGTGTAAATGGCAGCAAGCACCCCCTAGGGAGAACCATGTGCCCCCAGTTCTCAAAATTACAGATTCACAAACCCTGTGACCCAGAGAACTCATGCTAAGTGTTTAGCCTAAGTGTTCATCCTGCAGACATGTCTGTGCAATAACACAAGTTATTCAGTAAGGGACAGGGTTATTCACTATGAGACCCCTCCCTGAGCAAAAGAACAGAAATAAACCCAAACATCCAAGGTTAGGGCACTGGTAATCACAAAGAAGATCTTTAAAGTAACAACGTGGAGAAGTGTCTGAGAGATGTTAAGCGGGTGGGGGGTGGGGACAGACGGATGGACGGATCAGTGTGTGTAAACAATGCTCCCATTTGTGCCAAAATGCAAGAAGGAAAAAAAAAAAGCTTGCATACTGCTGCAATCTGTATTTGCTCTCTGACGAGCAGGTAAGAACAGGCTTTTTCTGCAGTGACAGGTCTCTGAGGGGCAGAGTGTGAAGGATGTTTGACCACTATGTGTATGACTCTGTTGCTCTTAAATTTTGACGGTGTGTAAACAGGTCGTCCAGTCAGGTAAACACAATACAGTAAACTACAATACAGTGAATACAATATAGTAAAACGTTTACATAAGGCAAGAACCTAGCCAAACCCATCTGTGGCATTAAAGTCATGATAATGGTTGTCCTTGGGCAGCAGTAATGAAGGAGGGGCTGGGACTTTGCGTGGGGGTTGTTTGGTTTCTGCGTTTGTATGCTGTTCACACACTCTTTGTGAAGTTATGTGAGCTGTGTATCTGTGATTTGTACTTTTCCCTACACATGTAATAAACTTCCACAAGAAAGTTTTGAAAATAGAAAACAGGGAGGCCTCGCTGGCCGCCTGTGGGGCTGGACTGGAGGTGGAGGCCGGGAGGGCAAGGTCCAGTCCAGGTAGCGGGACGGAGAGGAGGGGGCAGGCGGGCCTGGTTTCCAGTCGGCAGAGGGTGGGCCAATTCCTTGGCGAGCCCACCTGATTGAGGCAGAGGAGATGAAACACGTTGGGGCGGGGGCGGGGCCGGGGCTGGAGACAAGAGTTTGGTGGTGCTCTAGGGGAGTGGTGAGGATCCAGAACGCAGCTCGAGGCAGAGGAAGCCCGAGGCCGGGCGGAGGAGCGGCCCAGGACGGGCGGCCACCTGCGGAGCGAATCGGTCTGTTGAGACCCCCCGCCAAGGTGGCCCGGGGGGCGTGCGTCCGCAGCCCAGCCTCGCTGGCTGTGTGACCCTCAAGCTTCACGCCTGTTTCCTTTTTGGGGAAACACCCGCCGAGCAGGAGTGATGCAGGCACTCGGCGCGGAGGGTGGAATCGGCCCTGGCCACTTGTGTCGGGCGCGGGCAGGAGTCCTGCCCCGGCCGCGTCCCCTCGGCCCCGGATGGCCCCGCAGAGACGGTCTCCCCAGCGGCAGGCGGGGAGGTCGGTCCCACCGAAGCGCCGGCGGGGCCTTACCCGGAGGGCGCCGGAGGGAGCCGGGCCTGCCCTCCGCAAGTGAGGCCTGCAGTCACTCACCCGCTGCTGTCGGACTCTCGCAGCTCAGCTCCACCGGCGGCGTCCGCAGGCCGGGTCAACGTTTCTCACCTTCTGGCCACCGAGCCCCACCCCGCGCCCTCCGCGTCCCGCCTCCCGAGCCGATCCGCCCAATAGGCACTCGCCTAGCTCTGCTCCTCCGCTGGCAGCCAATCCATGAGCGCCGCTTCTTCCCCCACTCCCCGGGGAAGGGGGCGGTGAGCCAGGCTGTCCGTCTTCAGAGCGTGATTGGCCCGCCCTGGAGAAAGGCAGAGCGTCGGGCCAATGGGGAGTCGCGAATGGCGTGCTGGTGGGTCTAAAGGGTACAGAGAACTTGAGACTGCAGCCCCGGAGGTTGGTGGGTCGCGAGCAGCCGGGCTGTCCAGTTCTAACGACAGCGGCGAAGGGCTAGGGGTGCGCGGCGCAGGGGCAGGACTTGGGTCCGAACCTGGCCCTTCTAGCTAGAGACTGAAGCTTACAGAGAGACCCACGCACTTTCCAGGAAAGGTCTGAGGGCGCGACAAGCCAAGAAGTCCCTCCCTCTCCGCGCTCTTTAGTCTGTTCTCTTGGAGCCTCAGTTTTCCCTCTCACAGCACCTGCGTGCTCGGGTGGTGTCCTAATGTCTAGACGGTGCTTGGAAGTGGGCTTGCGAGAAAGCGGTGGAGAGAGAATTTTCCATTACTTCTGGAAAAAAAGCCAAACTACTCCCAAATCACGGTCTGCCTTTTCGGCCCCTCGACCGCCCTCCAGTCTTACCACTCTCCTCCGGCTCACTCCGCTCCAGCCAGGCTGGCCCCCAACGTCCCACCTCAGGGCCTTTGCACCGGCTGGTCCCTCTGCCTGAAACCCCAGACTTTTTCACAGTACCAGCTCCTTGTCATTGAAGGCCTTCCCTGACCACCCTGTATCAAGGAGTCACCGGATTGGGTCGCTATCCTATCGATATTTTCTTCCCAGCACTAATACCAATCTGAAATTGGAAATTTATCTTGCCTTAAAAAAAAAAAAGTATGAATGTACTCATTTATTTTCAGCCACCCCAACCTTACCCCCCACCCTGCCATGTGAACTCCACGAGGGCAGAGATGTCTGTTTTATTCACTGCTGAGTCCTCCACACCCAGATCTGGGCCTGGAATGCAGTAGGCGCTCCACAAATCTTTGGGAATAAACAAGAGGAGACCAGACGTTAGAAAGAGCTGAACCAGGGTGAGGGGGAGCCGGAGAGACAGTCACCAAGGAGGTGGGGCTGGGCAGAAAGAAGGGAGAAGGTGAGGAGGGAGAGATCACCCCCTGCCCCACCCCAGAGGCCGAACTGGGGGCCCTGGACTTGGGAGAAGGCCCTTGAGGCCGAGGCGGGAGTCTGGGGGGATTCCTGTGGCCAGAGGTTGCCAGGACGGGCGTGGATGGGACAGGGGACTGCCCAGCAGGCAGCCGAGGAGCTGTCATGGCAGGGGCTCTGGTCTGTCTGGGAGCCTGGGCTGGGTTGTGATTGGGTGTCACGGGAAGCAGGTCCCCCAGCCTTCGGGGGTCCCCTGAGAAGGGCAGGCACAAGACACCTCCCACCTGCCCCCCCAGCGACCCTCGGAAGCCAAGAGCTGCTCCCCTCCCCCCAGGGAACGCGGGGGAGGGAGCAGGGGGTCATAGAGCCGTGTGTCCTGCCTCAGGGCCGGCTGGCCCAGCGCACAAAGGGACAGGTCAGATGGTGCTGAAGGACACGGCGGGGGGAGTGCAATATCCTCAAAGAGGTCGAGGGTGGAGGCATCCAGGGCAGCGAGACTCAGGCTGGGGCCAGCATGGGGTGCCTCGGTGGGCGCCACGGCACAGGCCACGCCCAGGAAGGGGGACGCAGGTGGTGGGGGCGGCCTCTGGGGCGGCGGTCTCTGGGGAGGCGCCTCCTGGGACAGGATGGACATGGCCAGGCGCTGGGTGGCAGCTTCGATCTTGGCAAACTGCCTGCAGAAAGAGCTGGGCGTTACAGGGGTGACCACGGTGAAATCCCCTCCCGTCTGCCATCCCAGTAGTGACGTGTCTCTTCTCTCCCTCCCCATTTGTCTTTATGCTACTGTCTCTGCCCCGGGTCCGTTTTCTTGAGTCCCACAGTTCAGTCTCTAACCCCATTCATGGGCTTCCCTGGTGGCTCAGATGGTAAAGAATCTGCCTGCAATGTAGGAGACACAGGTTCAATCCCTGGGTGGGGAAGGTTTCCCTGAAGAAAAAAATGGCAACCCACTCCAGTATTCTCGCCTGAAGAATCCCCATGGACAGAGGAGCCTGGTGGGCTACAGTCCATAGGGTCGCAGAGTTGGACAGGACTGATTAACTAACCCTTTGTTTCACTTCCAACCCCATCCACAGGGAAGCTATGAACAGCTGTGGGGCCTTCCTTCCTTGAGGCAAACGAGGGCTCCTCTCTAGTTGAGGAGCTCCGGCTTCTCATCGCAGTGGCTTCTCTGGTTGCAGAGCACAGGTTCCAGGGTGCAAGGGCTTCAGTAGCTGCAGCGTGAGGCTCAGCTGTCCTGGCTCCCGGGCTCTGGAGCGCAGGCTCAATAGTGTGGTGCGTGGGCTTAGTTGTCCCGAGGCCTGTGTGATCTTTCTAGACCAGGAATGGAACTCATGTCTTCTGCATTTGCAGGAGGATTCTTTACCCCTGAGTCACCAGGAAATCCCAATATGTTTGGCATTTAGATTTATTCTGACCATATTCCAACATGTAGAAGTAAAAAATGCCTTAAGGGGTGCCTTTACAAATTTTTTTTTTTTTGCACAAAGGCACTCTGTGGACTGGCAGCGCCACTCTAACATTGAAGCCATGTGGCTTCTGCTTCCTCAAGGGCTATGAATCTGCATCTCCACTAACCCTCTCAGAATCTCCACCAATCCCTGGCTGGAGTCCCCAGCCTCCCCACCTGGATGACTGCAGTAGTCACTGCATGGGTCTCCCCCCAGTATTCCTACCCCCTCAGTAGCAATGCAGGTGGGTCTTGCACTGCACTGTGTCCCCCTAAAATTGATATGTTGAAGTTTTAACCCCCAGCACCTAAGAAAGTGAAAAGTCGCTCAATTGTGTCTGACTCCGAGACCCCAGGGACTGTAGCCTGCCAGGCTCCTCTGTCCATGGGATTCTCCAGGCAAGATACTACAGTAGGTTGTTATTTCCTTCTCCAGGGGAAATCTTCCCGACCCAGGGATTGAACCCAGGTCGCCTGCATCACAACGAGTCTTTACCCCTGAGCCACCAGGGAAGACCCAGGGCCTCAACACGTGACTGCACTTGGAGATTGAGTCTTTAGAGAGGTGATTAAGTCAAAACGACATCATCAGAGTGGCTCCTAACCCTGGAGGAGGAGATTAGGATGCACAGAGGGATGACCACAGGAGAAGCAAGGAGGAGGCCTCTCCCCGCGAGCACCTCGGTCTGGGGCCTCGGGCTCCAGAATCAGGAGAAGGTTGTCCTCAGTGCCCTGCCCAGTCTGTCGTGTTTGATGGTGGACGTTCCAGCAGATGAATGCAAAAACATGATTTTGAACAAAAGCAGTGAGACTTAGTGGGTGCGTGACACCATAGAAATAGAAGTTCAAAACCAGGCTAACTCGATCAACAGGGAGAGGCGTCAGGATGGTGACAAGAAATGCCCTGTTCCTGGATCTGAATGTTGATTTTATCGGCGGGTCCCCTTTAGGAAAAATTCATTAAGCTCCACACAGATGATGTGTGCATTTTTTTTTTTCTACTATGTTAAACCTCCAGGGAAAGGTTTATGTAAAAAATGTATCTGTTGGAACTTCCCTGGTGGTTCAGTGACTAAGACGGCAGGCTCGATTACTGATCAGGGAAGACCCCGCATGGCCTGGATAAAGTAAGCCCGAGCACCACACCTTGAGCCTGTGCCAGAAGCCCGTGCTCCCCAAGGAGAGAAGCCACAGCAACGAGAAGCCCAGGCACGCACCTAGAGAGGAGCCCCTGCTCGCCACAACTAGAGAGAAACCCACACAGCTGCGAAGATAAACAAAAGTTAATTAATTAATTTTAGAAAATGTATCTGCTGGGACTTCCCCAGTGGTCCAGTGGCTAAGACACACCGTGCTTCCAAAGCAGGGGCCGCAGGTTCCATCCCTGGTTGGGGAGCTAGATCCCTGCAGGGCCGCAACTGAGACCCAGAACTGCCAAATAAAGTTTCAATAAAAGAACTGCTGCATCAGACAGCTGTCTTTTGACTTTTCTGCAGGTTTGAAAAATTTTCACACAGAGTTAAACAATCTCTAGTGTGGGTGGGAGGGGGTTCCCGGGGGAGCAGGGCCTGAGGGGACCCGGAGAGAGGAGGAGGGCATGGGTGGGGAGGCGCGAGGGGAGCTCGCCTGCGTCCTGGATCTTGCCGGTTGCGCCTGCGTGCCCAGGGGGATGTGCTCACTGTGGGTGGCCAGGGCCTCGGGGAGCCTGGGGCAGAACCACCGTGGGGGTGGGAGGTCTGTGCCACCCGAGGCTGGCCCTCGGGGGCGGGGAGGACAGGCAGGGAGCCACAGAAACCGGTGTCATTGCTGGGGTCCAGACTGGGGGGCAGGCTGAAGGTGGGGAGGGGTCCTTGAGCAGTCGGTGAGGAGGCTGGCTTTGGAACACGGGGCAGGCCCGTCTTTGGGGGCAGGTGTGTCTTCCATCCTGGGCTCCCTGGAGGAAGGCCACTTGCGGCAGGGGAGCACAGGTCAGGTGGAGCGGCTCCCACTCACTCACGTGTGGTCCAGGCTCTCCTGGGGCAAGTCCCCACAGCCACCGCCCCCCAGAAAAACAGGAGCTTGGGCAAGTCACTTCACCGCTCTGTGCCTCAGTTTCCTCATCTGAAAAGGAGGACTGTGACAGCGCCCGCCTCCTGGGGCTGCTGTCAGCAGTTCCTGAGCTCACGCTCACTGTAAGGGGCATCGGGGGGTAAAACTAAAGTACTCAGAACAGTGCCCGGCACGTGGGAAGTGTCCAATAGCTCCGTCGCCACCGCCATCATCCTTACCATCCCCTCAGCCTCAGCACCATCACCCTCATCACCACCCTCACCATCAACACCACCATCAACCTCACCATCACCCTCACCATCACCACCACCACCACCCTCACCACCACTACCATCACCATCACCACCACCACCCTCACCACCACTACCATCACCCTCACCACCATCACCCTCATCACCACCATCACCCTCACCATCACCCTCATCACCACCATCACCCTCACCACCACCACCACCCTCACCACCACCATCACCCTCACCACCACTACCATCACCATCACCACCATCACCCTCATCACCACCATCACCCTCACCATCATCACCACCACTACCATCACCATCACCACCCTCACCATCACTACCACCAACCTCACCATCACCCTCACCATCACAACCATCACCATCACTACCATCACCATCACCCTCACCACCACCACCATCACCTTCACCATCACCACCATCACCATCACCCTCACCATCACCACCACCACCACCCTCACCGCCACCACCACCCTCACCACCATCACCATCACTACCATCACCATCACCCTCACCACCACCACCATCACCTTCACCATCACCACCATCACCATCACCCTCACCATCACCACCACCACCACCCTCACCGCCACCACCACCCTCACCATCACTACCATCACCATCACCACCACCACTCTCACCACCACTACCATCACCCTCACCACCACCACCCTCACCACCACTACCATCACCCTCACCACCATCACCCTCATCATCACCCTCATCACCACCATCACCCTCACCACCACCACCACCCTCACCACCACTACCATAACCATAACCACCATCACCATCACCCTCACCACCACTACCATCACCATCACCACCATCACCCTCATCACCACCATCACCCTCACCATCATCACCACCACTACCATCACCATCACCACCCTCACCATCACTACCACCAACCTCACCATCACCCTCACCATCACCACCATCACCATCACTACCATCACCATCACCCTCACCACCACCACCATCACCCTCACCATCACCACCATCACCCTCACCCTCACCACCACCACCATCACCCTCACCATCACCACCATCACCATCACCCTCACCATCACCACCACCACCACCCTCACCACCACTACCATCACCATCATCACCCTCATCACCATCACCATCATCACCCTCATCACCCTCAACATCACCACCACCACCCTCACCCTCAACATCACCACCACCACCCTCACCACCACCACAACCCTCACCATCACTACCATCACCATTACCACCATCACCATCATCCTCACCACCATCACCATCATCACAGTCACTACCATCATCCTCACCGTCACCTTCATCATTATCACCATCATCTTCACCACCATCACCCTCACCCTCACCACCCAGTCCCAGAGATGCTATATCCAGGCAGGACTACAGAGTGGTCCACAGCATGGACTCAGACTGCCTATAGTTGTCTCACCTCTCTAGCTGTGTAGCCTTGGACAAGTCATTGCACCTCTCTGAGCTCTCTTGTCAGTAATATAGGGAAAAGACAGAACCTACAGTTCAGGTTTGTGGGAATGTTAAGCGACCTAGCGGTATGTCAGGGCCTTAAGACAGTGTACCTGGCACACAGCAACCTCAAAAAATGGTCACTGTCACAGGGTGAGGGGCGAGCACAGGGCTGGACGGGTGTGCGGGCATGGACAGGCTGGGCGACAGCCGGAGGAGCAGAGGTCTCCATCCACATGCCCAGAGACAGGGCAAGGCATGGCCCCCGCAAGAGGCTGAATGGTGCAGAGCTAGGTGGGGAGCTGAGGCTGGCAGGGGAACAGGGGCTGGCGGGGCAGAGTCTCTGCACTGAGGGCCATGGGAGCCATGGGAGGGGTGCTCAAGCAGAAGAAAGGCCAAGCGTGCGTGGTGTGTGGGTTAGAAAGGCGCTGCCTTCAAACAGCCCCGGAGTTGGACCCCGCCTCCGTCGTCTGAGCCACCACCATCCCTAGCCTCCTGCATCCCTGATCGACAGTCCAAGGGGTCCTTTCAGACCCCCCCACCTCCCTACCCAGAGCCCAAGTCCCTCTGAGGCCCACAAGGTCCCCCGATCAGTCCCCTGTCTGTCTTGAACCTGAGTCCCTCCCCTTGCACTCTGCTCCAGCCTCCCCAGGCCTGCTCCCTGGTGCCTCTGGGCCTTTGCAGTACGCTCCCTTCCCGGGCTGCCCCCCTCATCTCCATAGGGCTCCTCCCTCCCCTCCCCAGGAAGGCCCTCCTGGACACCTTTCCTAAAATGCCACCCCGCCCCCAGCACGCCCTCCACAGACTCACCACCTTCGAACACGCTGTATCCTTTGTAAAAATTGAGGTAAAATTCACAGTACTTAAAAGGAACCATTTTAAAGCGTGCAATTCAGTGGCCTTCAGTACACTCATGATGTCATGCAAACACCCCCTCTAATTAGTTCCAGAACTTTCCATTACATCCCAGGAGACCTGGCACCTGTTAGGCATGTCTCCCCAGCCCAGCCCCCAGCCCCTGGCACCCGCCAACCTGCTTCCTGCTCTGTGGCTGTGCCCGTTCTGGATACTTCACAGCAATGGACTCACACTGTAGGGGACCTTTCGTGTCTGGTTCCTTTCACTCACCATCCTGTCATGTTGGAGCCTCATATGATGTCATTCACTTCTTTATTTTTTTAAAGTCTTTATTGAGTTTGTTAAATATTGCTTCTGTTTTATGTTTTTGTTTTTTTATTTTTTTGGTCACAAGGTATGTGGGATCTTGGGCCTCCCGCTCAGCTGGTAAGGAATCCGCCTGCAATGAGGGAGACCTGGGTTTGGTCCCTGGGTCAAGAAGATCTCCTGGAGAAGGAAAAGGCTACCCACCCCAGTATCCTTGCCTGGAGAATCCCATGGACAGGGGAGCCTGGTGGGCTGCACTGCGTGGGGCAACACAGAGTGGGACGTGACTGGGCAACTAACACTTTCACTTTCACGCTGTGTGGGATCTTAACTCCCTGCCCAGGGGCCAAACCTGCACCCCTTGCATTGGAAGGCGAAGGCTTAAGCCCTGGACCGCCGGGGAAGGCCCCGCTTCTTTATTTTGACAGTCCCTTATCAGCTGCCTCCCCACGGGAACACAGACTCCATGAAGCAGAGAGCTTTTCTGGCCATGCCTGTGGCATGCAAGGTCTTAGTTCCCGGACCAGGGATTGAACCCATGCCTCCTGAGTGGAAGCACGGAGGCTTAACCACTGGACCTCCAGGGACTCCCAAAGCAGAGAACTTTGCGTCCTATGGATGGGTCTCTGGGGCCGGCACACAGTCGGCACTCCATAGATGCACGTTGGGTGCAGCCGGCCCCGGGGGTCCCCTTTGCTCTGTGCTGTCTGGGCCTGGGTCCCACCCCGGCCCCTCCCAGCCCCCTCCCACGCTGCCCCCCCACCCCCCCACCCCCGCCCCCGCTCACCTGCAGATCTGGTTGTGTAGGAACCGCCTGTGGTTGGGTCTCCTTTTGGGGGGCCTGGCCCGCCGTGGGTGTAGGGCACGCAGCACGTGGGCAGCCGCCCCGCTCACAAAGGCGCACAGCTCCCGGGGGCCTGACTCCGAGATTCCAGGGCCTGCGGGAGCCCCAGGGTGCATGGCTGGGGTGATGGAGCGGCTCCCCACAATGCTGATCAGAAAGCAGCCACCCCCACAAATCTGTGAGGGGGCCCAGGGCCAGGGAGGGGCACGGGAAGAGAGACGGGGGTGGGGGACCCCACAGGGAGGGGCACGACCCTGGTTGGCAGGGCAGGGCCTGGGTAATCCGAACCGTCCTGTGCCCTCACCCCGGCCCCGAGGTGTGAGCAGCCCATAGGTGGGGGTCTGATATAGGCAGGCCAGGGGACAGGGAGGGGAGGGGTCATGTTGTGTGCCCCCCCAAAGGCCCAATTAGCACATAGTTGGGCCTGAGATCTGGGACAGGCAGCGTAGGTGGGGGGCGCGGAGAAAAGCGCCTGGAGATGGCCAATTAAGGGGACAAAGGCCTCATTAGGGAAGCGGGGCCAGGAGTGAGTCAACCCCAGCGATTAGCCTGGAGGACCCGTAATTGCAGCCCAGGGGAGGGGGCGCGGGGAGGCTTGGGTGCCCGGCGCCCTGAGGGAACGGGCAGTGCCCCGGGAGGCGGGCTGAGAGCCTCCAGCTGCGGGGCGGACACTCCGCGTCTGCCCAGCCCCCGCCAGGCCACCTCTCCTGCCTTCCCGCCCCCTCTGCTCCAGGCCTCAGAGCGCCTGCTGTGCCCAGGCTGTGCGGGGGGCGGGCTGACTCCCAAACCCAGCCTTTCCCACCTCAGCTTCCCAGTGAGCAGGGGAGAGGGGCAGGGGCCGCCTGTGGGCTGGGCCTGGCTGCTCCGGTGGGTGACGTGCATGCCAGGCAGACTGGGCCGGGAGGGGAAGCGGAGACCCAGGCCACTGAGGGACTGGGGGGCTGGCCCTGGACCAGGTAGGGAAGAACGGCTGCCTCCTGGGGCCTTGGCTGGTGTGTGTGGGGGGGTGGTCTCCGCATTTCAGAAGACCTGGTGGGGGGGTTTGTGTTGGGAGGAACAGGAGCCCCGTGGATGCCCCAACAAGTGGCCGCAAAGCTCCTGGCTTCACACCACGTGGGTCAGGATCACCCTGGCTCCCCCGAGCTGAGGTCAGGGCATTGCTTCTGGAGGGTCTGCTCCTGCCTTTCCCGGCTTCTTGAGGTCGCCCAGAGGCCTTGGCTTGTGGCTCCTTCCTCCGTGTCCTGCGGGAGTCCTCCTCCGACCTCTGCCTGCGCAGCCTCAGCGCCTTCTGGCCCCGCCCCTCCTGTCCCCCGTCGTAGGGACTCACCGGGTTACCCCATAACCTCCCGCTCTTGCATCCTTAACTCCGCCACGCCCGCCAAGTCGCGCTCACTACGGAAGGCGCCGGTTAGGACGTCGGCAGCTTTAGGCCACAGAGGGAGAGACGTTGCCCCAGTGATGGCTCCTCCCGAGCCCCCCCGGAGGCCATGGCAACTGGGTCAGTGGCTGCAGCCGCTGAGGCCGAGCCCCGGGGCGGAGGCGGGGTGCGGGGCGTGCTCCGGCGCACAGGCAGGGAGACAGACAGACACAGAACGGTGAGGAGGAGCCCCTGGGGTCCCCAGTGCCTGACACGCTGCCCCTTGGCGAGGCCCCCTGCCCCCAGGCACGCACAGGAAGGCAGGCCTGTCCCTGTTTCCTGAAGGAGAAACAGGTCAGGGCACAGGTGCACCCAGAGTCACGGCAACTGAGCTGGGATCTAACGCGTGTCGGGGAGAAAGCTCTCAGGAGGGAAACGAAGCCCTTTCTGAAAGCGCTCACAGGGCTTCCCTTATGACTCAGCGGTGAGGAGTCTGCCTGCCAACGCAGGGGACGCAGGTTCGATCCCGGGTCCGGGAAGATCCCACATGCCGCCGGGCAACTGGGCCAGCGCATCGCAACTACTGAGCCTGCGCTCTGGAGCCCGGGAGCCGCAACGGCTGAGCCCACTGCAGCGACTCTGGCGGCCGCACACCCAGCGCCGGGCGCTGCCCTAAGGGGAGCCACTGCAGTGAGAAGCCAGCCGCGCTGCGACTGGAGAGCAGCTCCCGCTCGCCGCCGCCAGAGGAAGCAGCCAAGACCCGGCGCAGCCAAACAGAAACAAACAAACCTTTAAGACAAAGCTCTCACGGTCGTTAAATACTAAAGCACGTTATTTCTAAGTCATCCATTATAAATTTCCCCCGAATGATTCCCAGATAATATTATCAGCAACAAATTATAAACCACTATAAAACGGCTCGAGAGGAGAGTATATATTCTAGAAGTCTTTATTTTTTTTGGCAGAGACACTTGAGGGATCTGAGTTCCCAGAGCAGAGACTGATCCCAGATACTGGCAGTGAGAGGATGGAGCCGCTGGGGAATTCTTAGCATAGCAGTCCTTTGGAAATGAAAGCTACCAGATGGGATATAGCATAAAGTATTGGAGCTTCAGCTTCAGCATCAGTCCTCCCAAGGAATATTCAGGGTTGATTTCCTTTAGGGTTGACTGGGGCATGGCTGGATGGTGAACGGGCCCCGGAAGCAAAGGCCTGGGTTCCAGCATTGTTGTTGTTTAGTCGCTAAGTCGTGCCCAACTCTTTGTGACTGCGTGGACTGCAGCCCGCCAGGCTCCTCTGTCTGGTTGGATCTCCTTGCAGTCCAGGGGACTCTCAAGAGTCTTCTCCAGCACCACAGTTGGAAAGCATCAATTCTTTGGCACTCAGCCTTCTTTATGGTCCAACGGTCACATTGTTACCTCACTGGTAAAATGGGGATGAGAAGGTGGCCCAGGGAGAAATCCCCCAAACTCCCACAGCGACTGAGTGGCAAGGCTGGGGTTTGAACTTGAATTCGGAAATTCCGTGGACCAGACCGAGGAGCCTGGCGGGCTACAGTCCACGCAGTCACAAAGAGTTGGACGTGACTTGGCGACTAAGCAACAACAATGCTGGAACCCAGGCCTTTGCTTCCCGGGGCCATTCACCATCCAGCCATGCCCCTGGTGAAAACCCAGTGGGCAGTGGCCGAAGCCCAGCCGGGCACAGGGTTCAGAGGGGGCACCAGGCCAGCCGCAGCACGGTAGCAGCCGGCACTGAATGTGGCGGTGCTGGGAGCCAGCACACGAGATCCCACCCATGACAAGGTCATGAGGAGAAGACCTGACAAGCAAGGCAGATCAGGACCTCAGGGATTTCGAAAAGCTGCCCCGGCGCTCACTTTAAAGATGATCTCTGTCTTTCTGATGCTTGCTATATTAGACTACTCCCTAATTTCTGTGACACAGGCAGAAGTCCCCCCATCTCTTTCCAAACAGAATCAACTTAGAACTTTGATCAATATGTCCCCCGGATGGTGGTATCCTGTAAGATTATCCAGGATGAAAGGAGTGTTTCAATTTAGACCCCTTTTCTGGCATTCTAGCCTGCTTGGCAAATGCGTACTAATGCACATGACTGCTCACAACACCTTAATCATAAACAGCATAAAGAACCTGATCACACAAAAGGCCCTAATAGGTACAGAGCCCTTCCGGGGTGAGGAAGCCCTATTAGAGAACACAAAAATATTATTCTAAAAGTGGTGATTGGATCAATGTTTGCTGTGTTTTTGCTCTTAATGTGCTGAGGTTGTGCAGTGGAAACTATTGTTAATATAGTTAGAGATTTAGAAAAATAAGAGTTAAAATTGTTAATTTTAACCAGGAATGCTAAACAGGGACTGCCTCACCGGAGCTGCAGAGTCTGTGTGTGGTAAACCTTTTAGATAAATTTAACTGATAACTTCTGCAAAAGGACTGACCTTTGTGTCAACAGGATTGTATTTCTACTATGTTGCAACCTGCTGTACCATGAGAGTGCAACTTTTCTGTTTTCTGTTTTCTTTTCGGTTTTCTCAAGGCAAAATGGAACAATAAAGAATAGATTACAGAAAACAGCTTTGCATTCACCTAGGTCCTAAAATGTCAATAGGCCCCAAGGCCAGAAGATAATGTACAAGACTCTCATAAACAAAGAAGTATGCAGAAAACACTCTGGTTTAGTGAAGGACAAGCTGATGTAATGTTAAACTAACTCTGTGTGCTTATTTTCCCCTTAGAAATGTACTAACTCAGGGTATAAAAGCTATGGTGAAAAATAAAACACCACCAGGCCCTGCTGCATACCCATCTGGTCTCTCTCTCTCTCTCACCAACGCCATTCATCCTGAGGGTACCCCTGGATCCTGCTGAGGCTGGATCCTGGCAAGGCGGCCTGCATGGGGCAGGTGACCCATGCCAGCAGCAGGCAGCCAGCGACGTTGCTGGAGGTCCAGTCCCCTTGGCAGCGTGTTGTGAGCTGCAACCAGTGAGGCCAGTGGCAGAGGGTCACCCAGATGCCCCGTATCACCCATGCCAGCCGCAGCTCCAGGGTGTTGAGGGCTGTCTCTCCCACCCCCGGTGCCACCTGTGTGCCACTCCTGTCAGGGACAGGTCAGCGTGGATGCAGCGTGGGGGCCTGGGCGTCGGGTGTCCGCCTGGGGGCATCATGGGCCTCCTGCGCTCCGCCCCGGCCCTCTCGCTGTGTCTGTCTGTGAGTCTCCCTGACTCCAGGGCTGTCTTCTGTGTCACCCCTGCTCTCTCCTCCTCTGCACCCAGCTCTCCTGCCCCGCCCCGGGTCTGCACCTCTCTCTTCTCGGTGTCTCTGATGATGCCCCCCACTCTGTGCTTCTGGCTTGTCTCGCTGTCTCTGTCACCACCTGTCACCATCTCCAGAGCATCTCTCAGACTTTGCATGCATCTCCGTCTTGATCTGGGCCGATTGTGTGTGTGTGTGTCTGTCTGTCTGTGCACACGTGTCCTGGACAGGTATGTGGTGTCCTAGCTAGGTAGGCCTGGACGGTTTCCTGACCTGTTGCTCTCAGGCCCAGAGGAGAAAGTCCAGGATGCCTTGGCAAGGGGGGCTGCGGGGCGTGGACCCCCAGGTCTCTGCAGGATTGGAGTCAGAGCTCAGGCCCCAGGACAGGCAAGGGGCTGCCTCTGCACAGCAGGCATGACCTCTGCCAGCCCAGCTCCAGGAGCGGACTCACATCCAAGCCATCAAGGGTCATGGGCAACGAGTGCGACCACTCTGTCCCTGCACCAGGGCGGCCGGCTGGCAGGGTGTCGCCTGGATGGTACACCAGGGGGCGCCCCAAGGGAGGGATGCTCCAGGGTGTGTGTGGCTCCCACTTTTGAGCCTCTCTCCTTCTCCTCCTGTCTCCGTCCTTTTTTGTTCTGTTTTTTTTGTAAGCAAAAAAAGTCTTTTAAAATATTTATTTGGCTGCACCAGGTCTTAGTTGCGCATGTGGGATCTTTCAGTTGCGACGTGTGGGGTCTAGTTCCCTGACCTGAACCCAGGCCCACTGCATTGGGAGCACAGTCTTAGCCACTGGACCACCAAGGGAAGTCCCCTGCATCCTTCCTTTCCTAAAAATAATTTTAAATATGCATTTATTTTTGGCCATGCTGGGTCTTCATTGCTGCATGGGCCTTCTCTAGATGCAGTGCTCTGGCTTCTCTTGTTGCACAGGACAGGCTTTGCAGCGTGAGGCCTTCAATAGTTGTGGCTCCCCAACTCTAGAGCACGGGCTCAACAGCGGTGGTGCATGAGCTTAGTTGCCCCGCGGGATGTGGGAATCTTCCAGGGTGAGGGATCAAACCTGAATCTCCTGCATTATCAGGTGGATCCTTTACTACTGAACCACCAGGGAAGCCCCGCTGTCTCCTTCCTTGATGAAAGTCTCCCGCAGCTGGCGGCTGGCTTCATCTGAGGACCTGTCCTTACAGGTATGAGAAAGTATTCACAGACTCCCTTCTCCTATCCCAGCTCTCGGAACTGGGGGTAGAGGGTGCATGGAGCCACTCAGCAAGCATTTATGCAGCACCTGCTGTATGCAGGGACTCAGGATGCAGTGGGGAACAAGACAAGCGGAGTCTGGGAGCGAGCCGTCTGTAAACTAGAAATTACGGTTCCAGAGGTGCCATGAGGATGCAGAAGCTGGACAGGAAGTTGGAGGCAAGGGTGATGCTTCAGGTGGAGAAACCCTCTCTGAGAAGGTGATAATTGTCTGGCAACCCTGATGGAAGCGGTGGCAATCAGGAGCTTCCCAGGCAGAGGGCACAGCGGGTGCGAAGGCCCTGAGGCAGGAGTAAGCTTGCAGGGAGGGAGGGAGAGAGAGGGAGTGATGTGAGGAGGTGAAATCAGAGAAGTGGTCAGGGGCCAGACACGTGGGGGTTTGTAGGCTAGGCAGGAGTTGGGTTATAAGTGCAAGAGTGATGGGAACCATGGAGGGTTTGGGACAGAGGTAGTTCCCGGGGCTCAGGGCCCTGCCCCAAACCTCCTTTGCCGGCCCTGCTGACCCTGCCCCTGCATCCCTCTCTGGTGTGGGGAGGGGGTGTCGGGACCCTGCTGGGAGTCCAGATAAGGCTTCTCCCTCCCTGCCTCCACCCCACCATATGCTGCCTCCCTCAACCAAGTCCAAGAGGGACTCTGTCCCCCATAATATTTTCTTTTTAAAATATTTATTTATTTATTTATCTGTGCCAGGTCTTAGTTGTGGCACGGGGGATCTTTAGCTGCGGCATGCAAGCTCCTATGGCGTGTGGGATCTAGTTCCCTAACTAGGGGTTGAAGCCCGGTCCCAGCATTGGGAGCATGGAGTCTTAGCCTCTGGATCACCAGGGAAGTCCCTGTTCCCCATAACATTTATTGTAAAAATTTACAGATGACAGGTTCCTGGTGTCCTCAACCCATAACGCAGAGATGCCAGCCCTGTTATATTTGTTTCGTATCTTTTCTTCTGAGAAGAGGGATGGGTTGAATTGTGCCTTCCTGAACTCATGTATTGAAGTCCCAGCCACCCTACCTCTGACTGTGACTATGTTCCCAGATGAGGTCTTTACAGTGGTAATTAAATGAGAGGAGGTCCGTTGAGTGGGCCGTAGTCCACTAAGAGTAGTGTCCCTATCGTGGTTGATCAGCTGCTCAGTCATGTCTGACTCTTTGCAACCCCATGGACTGCAGCATGCCAGGATTCCCTGTCCTTCATTATCTACCAGAGCTTGCTCAAACTCATGTCCATCGAGTCGCTGGTGCCATCCAACCATCTCATCCTCTGTCGTCCCCTTCTCCTCCTGCCCTCAATCTTTCCCAGCATCAGGGTCTTTTCAGATGAGTCAGCTCTTCAGATCAGGTGGCCAAAGTATAGGAGCTTCAGCTTCAGCATCAGTCCTTCCAATGAATATTCAAGGTTCATTTCCTTTAGGATGAACTGGTTTGGTCTCCTTTCAGTCCAAGGGACTCTCAAAAGTCTTCTCCAACACCACAGTTTGAAAGCATCAATTCTTTGGCACTGAGCCTTCTTTATGGTCCAACTCTCATATCCATACATGACTACTGGAAAAACCATAGCTTTGACTATACGGATGTTTGTCAGCAAAGTAATGTCTCTGCTTTTTCATATGCTGTCTAGGTTGGTCTTTTCTTCCAAGGAGCATCTTTTCATTTAATTGCTGCAGTCACCATCTGCAGTGATTTTGGAGCTCAAGAAAATAAAGTCTGTCACTGTTTCCACTGTTTCCCCAACTACTGTCACGAAGTGATGGGACTGGATGCCATGGTCTTAGCTTTTTGAATGTTGAATTCTAAGCCAGCTTTTTCACTCTCGTCTTTCACCTTCATCAAGAGGCTCTTTAGTTGCTCTTCACTTTCTGCCATTAGGGTGGTGTCACTGCCGTATCAGGAAAGCCGTGGTGCCGTCCAAAGGCCTGAGAGGGAAAGAGCTGATGTTGCAGGCTCCAGTCTGGGTCTGAAGACACGAGAGCCAGGAGTGGCGAGGGCAGGCAGAGAGCAGTGTCCCAGCTCAGACCGTCAGGCAGACAGTGAAGTCCACCTCCTTCCACCGTTTTGTTCTGATCAAGCCCTCAGTGGGTCAGATGGCATCCACCCATGCGGGGGAGGGCCCCCAGCTCCGCTCAGTCTACGGATCCAAACGCAAACTCTCCCAGAAACACCCTCACAGACACACCCAGAAATCACGTTTCACTGCTGGGCAGCCTGTGGTCCAATCAAGGTAACTCATGAAATTAACTCTCACGTTTCCTGTTGATTAACTTAAAGTCAGCTGATGAAGACCCCTGATTGCACCTGCTGAGAACCGGTCACAGGAGTGAGGGGCACCCCCGCCGCACACAGGGCCTTTGGGGCAGGTGTGATCCCCGTGGCCCCAGGTCCTGGCCACCTTCAAAGACTGCGGGTCTCCCTGTCCTGTCCCCCTAGGAAGAACCGTCCAGCTGACTGGCCAGGTGGGGGCTCGAGGGACTGGGGCTGGAAGGAACCCCTGATCTCCAAGGAGATCGGGGTCCCTCCCCCTGTAAAGCACTGGGGCAGGGTGTCGTCTGCCAGAAAGAATGCCTTGGGGGACTTCCCTGCTGGCCCAGTGGTTAAGACTCCATGCTTTCACTGCAGGGGGTGCAAGTTCCGCCTCTGGCGGTCAGCCCCTGGTTGGGAACCAAGATCCCGCCTGAGGACTGGAGAGGCAGACATCCAGATGTTGGCTTGGTCCCCCGTGGAGCCTTCAGGCCCCTAGCCCTGGACACGTCCCCTTGCCTGTCTCTCCTGCTGTTTTCTCCTCTGAGACGCTTAGCAGCACACAGCCATGGGACGTGTTATTTACTATGTCCTGTTTATTGCCACCCCTCACCCCCTGTAGAGGCTCAGATCCTGAAGAATCTAGTTTCTTTTTTTTTTTTTTTTAATTATTAAATTGTTTATTCTCCTGCAAGGCTGTTGCTTCACTGTATAAAAACAGCACCAGCAAACACAGTATATTGCAAAGTTAAGACAGTAATATTCTTCACTGGACACTATACAACTAACAAACTTTTCTCCACTGCCAGTTATTTCTAGTGGGAAGATCATTTTGACCCAAATCCAAGGATAGCTGTAAGCAAGTTACAATGTCATATAAGGTATAAGATAACCATGTTATCCTTGAATTACATAATTTTTGTAATTAGTTTTATCAGAGATAATTTCAGGAATTCTGAATAGTATAACTGGAGCCTAGCCTAAAAATCACAGGATGCTGTGGAAAAGATAGTGTTTATCTGAAGGCATTAGAAAATTAAGGGGTATTTTCTTCAGGAAACATTGTTACAAGTAGTTTCTTTTGCTAAAAGTTGCTTTTTAAATATCTATCCACCACTAATTTAAGACAACTATGCTAGATTAAGTTGTTTCAAAGTAGTTTATTTAGGGGTTCCCTTTTCATTCCTCAATAGATTTTTATGTATTTTTCATATGCTTCTTCACTCATTAGTTCATCTAGTTCTGAAGGGTTACTGAATTGATCAGCCAACCATCTTCATAACAACACTTGTTGACTAGTCCTGGATTTTCTGCTAGAGCTTTATTAATTTCCGTTACTTCTCCTGATAGAGGGGAATAGAGTTCACTAGCAGCTTTCACACTTTCCAAAGCACCAAACTCCTCTTGTTTATTCAACTTTGTCCCAACTTCAGGCAGACTACAGTAAACAACATCTCCCAAAGCTTCCTGTGCAAAACTGCTGATTCCCACTGTTCCAACACCGTTTTCTGTTGTTACCCATTCGTGTTTTTCTGTGAATTTCCGCACCGACAGCAGAGCAGGGCCGGTGCGCAGTGCCCGGACGGCACCCGCCCGCAGTCCCCAGGGCCGCGGCGAGCAGGGCGCGCTGGGTGCCGAGATGGCGCGCAGGCTGCCGACCGCGGCCCGCACGCTCCGCACCGCTTGCAGCGCCCTGTTCGCACGGGTGCAGAGGGTCTCCGCGAGGCTCCTAGAGCACCCTGGCCGGCGGGGGCGGGGCGGGGCGGGGCAAGAATCTAGTTTCAATGCGGGAGACTGGGGTTCGATCCCTGGGTCGGGAAGATCCCCTGGAGTAGGAAATGGCAACCCACTCCAGTACTATTGCCCGGAGAATCCCATGGACAAAGGAGCCTGGGGGCTACAGTCCGTGGGGTCGCAAAGAGTCTGACACCATGAAGCGACTAACACTATGCCTCCTCCCCACCCCCTCCGCCACGTGGCTATGTCCCAGCTCCTAGAGCGAGACCGCAGGAGGGTCGTGGGTCGCGACTCAGGGTCTGGAGGCCCCGGAACCTGGACTGGGTGCTTCTGATGACCTCCTGTGATGTCTGTGTCAGTTGGCCCCTCTGGGTCAGGGCCTGTGACTCAGGGTCCGGCGTAGAGCTGTGCCGAGGAGTCCACAGTCAAGGCTCCGTGAGGGCTCCAGCGCAGGCATGGCTGGGGGTGGGGGGTGGGGGGCACGGCTCCTCCCAAGCGTGTCCCTGGGCAGCCAGACACAGTGCCGGCATTCCGTCAGGCGCCCCACAGGGCTGTTACTGATGCTTTGAAAATGAGCCTGTCAGATCTGCAGATTTTCTCCCCCTTCCCCAAAGAGGCCCCAGGCCCCAGAGAACGGGATCCCACTGTTCCCAGGGAATCCTCGGCCTCCTTCCATAAGCCAGGCAGGGCCTGGCGTGTGGAAGAGCTGGGGATACAGACCCCGGGTGGCGGCCTGCTCTCGCTTCTCCCTAGCCTTCCCTTCGTCCTCCTGAACCATTCAGTGCTCTGCTCAGGTGTCCTGGTAGGTTCAATTCAGTTCAGTCACTCAGTCCTGTCCGACTCTTTGCGACCCCATAAACTGCAGCACACCAGGCCTCCCTGTCCATCACCAACTCCCGGAGTTCACCCAAACCCATGTCCATCAAGTCAGTGATGCCATCCAACCATCTCATCCTCTGTAGTCCCCTTCTCCTCCCTCCTTCAATCTTTCCCAGCATCAGGGTCTTTTCAAATAAGTCAGCTCTTTGCATCAGGTGGCCAAAGTATTGAGGTTTCAGCTTCAGCATCAGTCCTCCAATGAATATTCAGGACTGGTTTCCCTTAGGATGGACTGGTTGGATCTCCTTGCAGCCTAAGGGACTCTCAAGAGTCTTCTCCAACACCACAGTTCAAAAGCATAAATTCTTCAGCACTCAGCTTTTTTTATAGTCCAACTCTCACATCCATACATGACCACTGGAAAAACCATAGCCTTGACTAGATGGACCTTTGTTGACAAAGTAATGTCTCTGCTTTTCAACAAGCATCTTTTAATTTCATGGCTGCAATCATCATCTGCAGTGATTTTGGAGCCCAGAAAAATAAAGTCAGCCACTGTTTCCCCATCTATTTGCCATGAAGTGATGGGACCGGATGCCATGATCTTAGTTTTCTGAATGTTGAGCTTTAAGTCAACTTTTTCAGTTTCCTCTTTCACTTTCATCAAGAGGCTCTTTAGTTCTTCTTCACTTTCTGCCATAAGGGTGGTGTCATCTGCATATCTGAGGATATTGATATTTCTCCCAGCAATCTTGATTCCAGCCTGTGCTTCCTCCAGCCCAGCGTTTCTCATGATGTACTCTGCATATAAGTTAAATAAGCAGGGTGACAATATACAGCTTTGATGTACTCCTTTTCCTATTTGGAACCAGTCTGTTGTTCCATGTACAGTTCTAACTGTTGCTTCCTTACCTACATATAGGTTTCTCAAGAGGCAGGTCAGGTGGTCTGGTATTCCCATCTCTTTCAGAATCTTCCAGTTTATTGTGAGCCACACAGTCAAATGCTTTGGTATAGTCAATAAAGCAGAAATAGATGTATTTCTGGTACTCTCTTGCTTTTTTGATGATCCATTGGATGTTGGCGATTTGATTTCTGCTTCCTCTGCCTTTTCTAAAACCAGCTTGAACATCTGGAAATTCACAGTTCACGTATTGCTGAAGCCTGGCTTGGAGAATTTTAAGTATTACTTTACTAGCATGTGAGATGAGTGCAACTGTGCGCTCCCCCTTTCTGATAGGGGAGGTAGATAAAAGCTAAGGGGAGAGGAATGTTTGGGCTGAGCAAGCCAAGGGCTTTATATTTGTGAATTCACTGGGGATTTCATAAAGACCCTGCAGGGCAGGGTAGGTCTGACTGCTCAGATATCCCCTGAGTCCCAGCCTGCCTGGGGGCTTGGGGAACTGTCTTTTGTTGTTCAGTCGCTAAGTTGAGTCTGACTCTTTGGGACCCGTGAACTGCA